GATGTCAGCACCCAACAGGTCTCAGGACTTCTGCATGTCTACATAAGGGATCTTTTACAGGTCAACAATATACATAAAATACATTGAATAGACATCTAATTATATGGGAAGATTCTTGTTGAAATAGTCTGGAAACAGGTTCTCCATGTCCTAGCGGCAATTCCAGGGACACAAACTGACCATGCCAGCATGGAATGCATCAAACTGACCCTGCATGGGCAGCCTGGTACAGGGACCTGACAGGATCACCAAAGTGTTTGTTTTATTTTGTTTGCTGATAAATACTAACTACAGACTACATTTACCAAGTCCTAGGTCAAAACTCACACAGGTATTTAAGCCCCATTTTTGGGGTTGCATACTATTTAAAGGATGCACTGAAATTTCGGCTGAAAAAAAGCCAAAAAGTACCATCTTTTGGCCGAAATTGCTGTGCATCCCTGGTTTCTCCCTTCTGTGTCCCTTCTGACACAGCATAACGAGTCAGGATGGAGAGCCGGTACAAGCACTCAGCGATCGCCGACTAATTGTAAAATAATTGAGGACCGAGTATGTTTACGGTGTCCCCAATTATGTATGAATGGGAAGTGATCTACATCACTTCCTGTTTATTCATGATTGTGGATATAGTAAACATACCATCTCCACAAGTTATGAATGAACAGGAGCACTCAGTGTAGAGGATTTCTGTATATTATAAACAGGGGCTGCAGAAAAAGAGATTGAGGACTCTGGGTTATCAATCTTTCGATTTTAAAAGGGAAATATGAGGAGTCTGTTTAGACCCCTGATATTTCCCCGAAGCCTCTAAAAGTAAAAAAAAAAATTAAAAAGTTAAGAAAAAAAAAAAAAAAAAACACATTAAAAAAGGAGATCTATGAGGTGAGTGTTTTCCACTCATCCTAATAGTTAGAGACGACGTGTGACACTGAAACTATCACGTCGGCTCTATAGATCGGGATGTGAGCGAACACATACCGTCGCTTGTGCACTTCCCGACCATCTCCATGCAGAGAGCCGTAAGTCAGTCAGTCACCTCTCCCAGCAGGGAATTCCCCCTCCCTTCTCCGATCCTCCTGCGCTGACTGGAGGAATGGACAGGGGAACTGGCGGGCACAGCTGGCTCTGCCTCAAGATTGACAGCCGGCTCTGCCTATCAGCCACAGCTGGGTAGATCTCAACAGTATTGGCCAGACGTGTGCGCTGGGTGACAATTTTAGAAGAAATAGTTATAGGTCTCCTAGCAAAATCAGTTGTCGTCCTTTAGCAGGGATTAAAAACTATATTCAACAATGCAAACCTTTGTGCGGTGTCAGAATCATGCGCATATGTGCAGAATACAGAACATGCACGTTATGACAACCCTAATGAGTTTGCCCTTCTCCACTGACCAAGTGATCCCCATCGCTGCTATCTTCTCCACCACCTATGATGTAGCACATGCAAGGTGGACATTCAGGACTTGCTAGGATAAAGGGGGAAGCGTTTTGTTTTTATTTGCCAGGACAGTCTCTTCTGCTAAAAGCATTATCTAGCGGCATTTTTATTTCAGACTGCAGGTCTGCTTTAAAGTGACACTAAACTCTGGAGCTAAATCTTAAAAATGCACCAAAGTACTCTATTAATAAAAATGTGTGTGAGTGTGTGTGTGAGTGTGTGTGAGTGTGTGAGTGAGTGTGAGTGTGTGTGTGTGTGTGTGAGTGTGTGAGTGAGTGTGAGTGTGTGAGTGAGTGTGAGTGAGTGTGTGAGTGAGTGTGAGTGAGTGTGAGAGTGTGAGTGTGTGTGTGTGTGAGTGTGTGTGTGTGTGAGTGAGTGAGTGTGTGAGTGAGTGTGAGTGAGTGTGAGTGTGTGAGTGAGTGTGTGTGTGAGTGAGTGTGAGAGTGTGAGAGTGTGAGAGTGTGAGAGTGTGAGAGTGTGAGTGAGTGTGTGAGTGTGAGAGTGTGAGTGAGTGTGTGAGTGAGTGAGTGTGTGAGTGAGTGAGTGAGTGTGAGAGTGTGAGAGTGTGAGAGTGTGAGAGTGTGAGAGTGTGAGAGTGTGAGAGTGTGAGAGTGTGAGAGTGTGAGTGTGAGAGTGTGAGTGTGTGAGTGTGAGAGTGTGAGAGTGTGAGAGTGTGAGAGTGTGAGAGTGTGAGAGTGTGAGAGTGTGAGTGAGTGTGTGAGTGAGTGAGTGAGTGAGTGTGAGTGAGTGAGTGTGTGAGTGAGTGTGTGAGAGTGTGAGTGTGTGAGTGTGTGAGTGTGTGAGAGTGTGAGAGTGTGAGAGTGTGAGTGTGTGAGAGTGTGAGAGTGTGAGAGTGAGAGTGTGAGAGTGTGAGAGTGTGAGAGTGTGAGAGTGTGAGAGTGTGAGAGTGTGAGAGTGTGAGAGTGTGAGTGTGAGAGTGTGAGAGTGTGAGAGTGTGAGAGAGAGTGTGTAGCCACCACTCCAAGCTTTTTATTACATTTCAAAAAGTAGGGTTTAAAGCCCCAAGCATACTCCCTGATGATGGGAGAGCTCTAACTGAATGTGGAACTGTTGGACCGCTGTAGGGATGCTGCTGCTTACACACAGAACAATGGTTCTGCAGTTTATTGTGGAGCCAGGACAATTTTATTTTCAAGCAGATTCAGCACGATGAAAACTAGGGATGCACCGATATATCGGCCGCCGAAACATATCGGGCGAAAATGGCACTTTTGGCATAATGCCAAAAGTGCAATTTTCCAGCCGATAAATCGGCGCATCCGTGATTTTTCTCCCCGCTGGGAGCTGCTCTATGTCCCAGCGAGGAGAGGAGAAAGTGACAGCCGGCCGAGCGCTGCGGTGGAGAGCGCTGTGAGCGCCCGGCGTCTCCTCCCACACCGCTCTGCCGCCCATCACAGTCCGGCAGAGCGGTGTGGGGGCGGAGACAGTGTTGTCACAGGAGGCTGGGCTTTTCTCTCTACATCGCTCGATCAGCCTCCTGTGACAGCGTGTCAGAGAGAAGAGCAAGAGGAAACACTCAGCGATCAGTGAGTGTTTGTACATAATTGAGGATATGGTATGTTAACTATATCCTCAATTATGAATGAATGGGAGTGATCTCCATCACCCCCATTCATTCATAATTGTAGTTATAGTAAAACACACAATGTTCTCATGTTATCAATGAACAGGAACACTCAGAGGATTCCTGTTCATTGATAACAGGGGACACAGAAAGAGAGATTTAGGACTTTGTGTTCTCAATCTCTTTTTCTATTTTAAAAAGGGAAATATCAGTTTAGACCCCTACTATTTCCCCAAAGCCCCTAAAAGTAAAAAATAAAAATATTTAATAAAAAATGAATAAAATATTAAACATTTTAAAAAATAAATAAAAATAAAATATAAAAATAAAAAAAACATTTTCGGTATCGGTTTCGGCCTGACTTTTTATTTCGGTTTTGTTTCGGTTTAAAAATTTCCATTTTGTTGCACCTCTAATGAAAACAAAATAAAGTGATTAACTTTATTCACCGGCTGCACTCAAGTTGATTTATTGACTTTTAAGAGAAGTTTCAAATTAACTTTGATTAACAATTGTAGCCTAAAACCTTAATACTTGGAAGTGTGTTTTACATAAAACAAAAACATGCAGAGCAAACTGTAAAAAGTTTTAGAATGTAAAATATGAACATATGATTTACTTGTTGTTAGAGCTTAGCAGTATAATTCCGACATGGTATATGAATAGAGTGAGTGTCTACAATAACATGCGACAATGCACTATGACCAAATAAAACCACAGCAAGCCCTTCAACGTCCATCATTAGAAGAGATAGCATGTGACTTTTATACATTGGGCTCCCTGACAACAAAAACACAGAACCTTGTATATAGAGCCCACATTCAGAGGACAAACTTGGCTAACTGCAATAGAAACAACTGTCACCCCAGGGGACCTGCTTGAAAAACAGAAGACGCTAGACCATCTACATTGGCCATGGAAATCTGCACTGTAACAAATTCTACATCTTGTTGACTGGAATATTGTATGGCTTTATAACTCCAATCATTGCAGTTACAAAAGTCCCCAAAACATCATTGCACTGAGGTACAAAGCTGGCCTCCCTCTGCTTTTTGCCATTGAAAGTCAACTTCAATTGAGACAGTTCTCCAGTGTGAACCAAGTTGAGCAGGATGTAATCTACCCATCAAAAACTACAGCTACAGTCAGTGCTGGAGAACAGAGACAAGAGGAGGGAAATCCCTGCAAGGGAGTGACTGACAGTTACTACTCCCTGCAGGGAGAAGAGCGGGAACTGAGTGATCAGCGGTATGTGATCGCTCAGTTCTCGATTTATAGAGCCGACGTGTGACAGCTTCAAACTTTGGCACTAACTATATGGTTGAGTGTATTTCACTCTCCCCATAATTCTCCTTTAAACTACATTGTGAGATGGTGGAGAGCGACTGAGCTTAGATTGGAGGCATCATTTGGACACCTAGGTTCAGGATCTCCCATGAAATGTAAGAAAGGCACTGACCTGAAGGTATATGCAGGCACCTATGGGGGTCTACTATTGAGACTAAAACCAGTTTAACTTCTTTTCATGAAAGGCATACTTTAATGAGAGACTGAAATGTGTCACTGCATTAAAGGAAGCAAATCCCGTGGAATTCTTTAAAAAGAAAAACCTCTAGATGGCTCTGATTAATAGGGCTAGGCAAGAACGAATAGAAATTCAATGTGGCAATAAATATATGACTTTGCATTTAGACCATAGATACACTTGAGTACTTAATGCAAGTCCTCTTCCAAACCAGGTACCACTGATATCACAATGCTGCTTTTTTGCTGCACTCCATTCCATGGCTGCAATGGAGTATGCAGGCCATGTAGCCACCGTCAAGGCTGGGGGTGGGGGGGTTTTTAACAATTTAATGAATCACAAATTAAACGCTCAGGAGTAATTTAGGGGACACACCTATGTTTCAAACTTCAATAAATGTTTAATTACTCAGCAAGATGTGACATTTGGATGGCAAAATATACAAGTGATTACCTGATGTCTTGAAACTGCAAGCTCCCAAAGCAGGTAGAGCTGGGGGCTGCTTCTTTTCTGTACTGGATGAAATATCAACATCTGCGCCCTTAGTCGGTGGTGCCGGCTTTGGAATAGTTTCTTCAATCTCAGACTCCTTTTTATTAAAGTCTACCAACTTAACAGAAGCTGGAGTACTCTCTTTGGCTTTTTGCTGTGAATGCAAGTCTTCTATTTTCTTAGGCTCATCTTTCAGTACACGATCATCCCGCTTCTTAACTTCAACTTGATCCTCTCTGCTAGGTTTGGAAACAAACTCCTGAACAAACGGCACAGCCGATGGCTTTTCAAAGTGCACAGGCTCGGTTATGTGCGGCACCTCTTCAGCATAGACCGTTTTTCCAAAAGCTTCCATCTGTAAAGGTTTCTCTTGCCTAGATAACTGTGTAACTGGTTCCTTAGCCAATATATTAGTATCAAAAACGCGAGACTCAGACTCTAGATAAGCTTTACCAGAGACTTCCTCGTTCCACTTCTCATCACTTTCTTGTTCCTCGTCTAATGCAACATCACGAGACTGTACACTGCTTATTGAGGTGGCTGCTTCCTTTAAGATCACTTCTGACTCCCAATGCTTGTATGAAGGTTCACTGGGCTCAGACTCTGGAGAGCTCTCATCATATTGGGTAGTATAGTGGTAATCAAACTCACTTTTCAGGGCCTTTGGGAAATCAGTAACTTTTTCTGGAATGGTCTCCTTTATCAAATCACATGCTATGGATATATATGGTGCTTCGGCCTCTTCAGCGCGAGTCTTTTTCACTGGCTCAACATGTGCCGCAGCAGGTTCCTGCTCTTTCAAGTTTCCTTTATTGATAGCATCTTCATATGATGGGGGTTTCTCCGATTCAAACTTTATTTTCTCTTCACTGACAACACCAACATGTCGTGCTGTTGAAACATCAGGCTGTGAGGCTGACGTCAGTGGTGCCTCCATGACAATATCAGGAAGAACTGGTGAAGAGACGGACTCTGAATCTTCAAACGGGGCTGTGTTTTGTGTGGGAGGAGTGTTTTCTTGTGATGCTTTAGCAGTGGTCTGAACCAAATCTATTTTTGGTTCATAATTCAGCTTTGGTACACCAACCTCATAGACCTCACTTTCATAAGCTTCTTGCACAATATCTGGAGTAAGTCCTTCCGGTTTGCTGGAACTCTGGGAAAATACAATTCCGGATAGATGGTCAGATGTGACGTACTCTGCTTCCTTGTCGATATGTTCCAGGAAAGGATTAACTGTTGCAACATTTGAACCTAGATGGGATGTTTGACGAGTCCCCGTCTCTTCCACACTCTTCTCAAATTTGTGGTCAGTAAATGGATTCCCTCCATATGCCAATGGTGCAGCTTTTTGTAAAGGAGCAAAGGTCTCATAACTTGAGGAATTAGATATAGCTTCCGGAGATGCAGGAGATATATCATCAGAAAGGTCTATGTCCTTCTCTTCCATGTATTTTTCTTCAGGCTTTGTGGATTCAAAATTCAAAGAACTGATATTACTTTTAATGCCAGCAGCCATACTTTTAAATTCATAGCCAAGATCAAGGCCCGCCGTACTAACAAAGGGTTTGAAGTCCACATAGTGTTCGACTCCTTTAGGATCTAAAAACTCTTCATGGGGAGGTCCAACAGATTTAAGCATTCCTGAAAACATCTCTTTAGCAGACTGTGTGTACAGTTTTGCATGATCTACAGGTACAGACTCTGGCTGAGACGTGGGATGTTCAACAGCATAACCTCTATCAGAAAAGATTGTATCTTCCTTGATATCGCCTAGACCAAAAGTGTATTTGTGGTCTTTTCCTTCAGCATAGTCAGTCTCTGTAGCATAGCTTTGCAAAGCTTCTGGAGTGGTGGAGTCAGCAGAGAAAGCAATAGTGGCTGTGTGCTCTTTAGGGTAATCAGCAGACAAAGGAGATAAAGAAGGAAGGGTAGTAGTGGATTCAAACAGCAGAGATGAAAGGTCCTCTTTGCCAGCTGGCTCAGTGCTAGAAGGCTGCTGCAAATCCATTACATTATCTGTAGCAATGAACAGAAAGGAAAGACGACAAGCAGAAAGAAACAGATTACTTGAAGAAGAGTAATGGAAACAGTGTTAGCTCAAGCACGGACAGCTTTGTTAAAGAAATTTAGACAGCCTAAAGAAGTGTACCAGTTTAAATGAGAAGCAGGGGTGGCAAGAATTATCATAGAAATCAAGATTCACACTGATTCAGTATGATTAAAGCCATTAGCAGACCTTTTAAATTGCCAGAAAAAAAATATCCTTGAATCAAAGGAAAGGAAGGGCTCATGGACATTTGCCAGCTGTTTTTTTATATATACATTGGCTACTTGGCTCCTGGAATTTGAGTAGCCTCTTCTCATAAGCAGGAGGCTCTTAAAAAGGGTTCTTTTCAACAGAGTGAAAAAAGCCTTTGTGTACCAGTCATGTGTGCACAGGGGGATCATCCATTTTTTTTTTTTTAATGCATCAGTATTCATCTATAAAACATATATTCCTTTCCTCCACCTTTGTTAAAAATGATGACATGACAGCATTAAAGCAACACTAAACTAAGGCGTTAAATCTTAAAACGGCACTCAAAGTGTAGCTTATTAGTGTATTACTCAGCTGAAGATCCTCAAATCATCTCTGAATTGGTGCCGACACTGTCCTTCCTTCTGGAGGGTGGCCACTTATGTTCCCCATGGTCCCGGTGTGTGTAAAGTAGTCACTGCTCCAAGTCGGTGCGGTCAGAGCAATGACTCCAAATCACTGCTCCAATGGACTACAATATCAATACAAATTAGTAAACTAAATGCGAGATTGTAGGTCCATCACAGGAGTGAGCTTGGAGCAGTGGCTACTTTACATCACACACAGGGACCATGGGGAACAAAAGTAGCCAATCTCCAGAAGGAAGGACAGAGTCACCATGAATTCAGAGATGATTTGAGGATCTACAGATGAGCAATACACAAATGAGCTAAATGTTTGTTAATATTTAAAAGGTACTTGAATGCATTTTTAAGATTTAACTCCTGTGTTTAGTGTCACAACACAGACTGGATAACAGCCATGAATCATTCAATAGCAGTACTAAGAGCTCTAAGTGTGGTCCTCAATGTCTACATTCATAACTGCATGCTTAAAACTAGGCAAACATCTTCAAATGGCAGGCCAGAATGACAAGCCAATGTAAGTTTGCAAAGTCATTGCTCATTATCGGTCAGTCAATAGTAGCTAGCTATTCAATATGTTTTAAAGAGGAGAGGTGTCGTTCCTTCAAATATGTGAAAAACAATTTGAATCTTTTGGGGTAAAGGACCAGATTTTTATTCACTTTACAGTAGATGAGCCAAGGACAGCGATAGTATTAATGTGTACAATGTGATGACTCCTGTTAATGTAGCAGAGAAGGACAGTGTGATTAAAGCCATATACAGAAGCCAGTATTTTTCATCAGTTAGAAAGTATGAAACATGTTATATCGAACATTCTCAGGCACCCATAAGGAAAGTCCAAACACAACAAACATTGTAGAAGGTACAGCTCTCTTGAAGAGCCTCATGAAAAGAAAAGGCTTTCCCTAAAAAACACTATGCATTTATGTATGTGACACATTTTTTGTAATGGGGTATTATTTACCAGTCAATTCACCAAGAACCTATGACTTCATTAAAGTAGATCTAAAAGCCAAAATTATTTTTCCAATTTATGAGTAGGGGATGGTTAAAGCCCGTCAAATTATTAGATCTGCCTCCCATTAGGGCAGGGCCGGACAAATTCCAGGAGCCAGATAACCAGTCCCTAGCGCTGCATTCACATGGGGTTTGTTTGTGCCTTCTGTGAGTCTTGCAGAAGAACCTGCAAGTTCTTGCAGCAAGAATCCTAGGCGTGTCCATCCAGATGTGACCGCTGTACTCGTTCAAGTTAACAGGGTAACCATGGCCACATCTGTCAACAGCAGTCCGCATGTTGTACATGGTAAGACTATGGTTTGGGATAGATATTGTCCCTGGATGAATCTATCCTGCGTCCGGGGATAATCATCTATTCTGAATCCTGACAGATGCGGCCCCTGTCACCTGGTCATTAACTTGTATTGGTACAGCAACAGCAGCATCTGAACCGTCATCTGTGGAGCAACAGCAGCATCTGAACCGTCATCTGTGGAGCAACAGCAGCATCTGAACCGTCATCTGTGGAGCAACAGCAGCATCTGAACCGTCATCTGTGGAGCAACAGCAGCATCTGAACCGGCATCTGTGGAGCAACAGCAGCATCTGAACCGGCATCTGTGGGATTCCTGCTGCAATTATCCACAGGTTCTTGCTGCAGAAATCCCCAAACACAGCATAAACACCATGTGAATGGGGCCTAACTTTTGAGGTTGTCTAGTTGTTGTCAATGAAGCGGGCTCCGGGAAAAAAAAAATCCGGCTGGCTCCTGGACGGGACAGATTGACTCCTGAATTCTATATTAATTTGACTATCCACGCATGAGGCATATTTCCCTTCCTGTCCCCTTAACAGGAAGTGGAAGGAAATCTCATTTTTGGCAGTTGTTACAGAACAAGCGTCCCCATTAGAAGTTTTCCAGTCCAATCCTGTTTTCGTGACCATTTAAAAGGTTTGATTTTTTCCCCTCACAGATTGCACCAGTGACAATACTCACCATGCCAAATAGGAGGGGTAAATCTCCCTAAACTGGATATGGACAGCAATAAATACCTTACCGTTTTGATAACTAATCCCTAATAGTGTATGTATATTGTAATGTATCGAAAACTAACAAAAAAAAGTTGTGGCTTTAGATTGACTTTAAATGATTAGAAATGGGTAAAAGCGAACTATCGTACATGCACAGTCATCACTCAGGACAGCCATGCCTTAAATACTTCATTTTACATTCATTACAGAAAAGAACACACAAAAGAAAGAGGTAACGTTTGCTGGAATAGCTCTTATTTATACCACCTGAACCAAAATGACCAATACATTAAAAGAGGAACTTCAGACTTCCCCAAAGAAAACAGTTCATGTGCCTTTTACATGCTGTTTTGCCTCTTCTTTTATGTTGTTTAAATATATTACAAGCCCAGTGGATCCAGCATTGTCCTCACACCATTCTGCTCCAGGTCCCGTCCCACCATCTTCCTCTTGTACGTCATTGGGAGCCAGCTGTCTCTACCTGGTTCTTGCAGCTGCACCCCAATGACGTGGCACTAGATCTTGCACATGTGCAGGTAGAGATCTGGCGCTGGGTGTTTGAGGTCTCCTGCGATATGTGCCCAGTAGGCTGCAGGAGGAGGCTTCATGTCATTCTCACCTAGGTAAGAATGAAGCCAGGGGGCAGGTCACCCATGAAAAAAAAAAGGCAAACATAAAAAAAATTTGTAAAAAAGGATCCGCTTTCCTCATTTAGATTGTAAATGTGTGTGGGGGGGGGGGATTAGAATGCTGCAAAGTGTTGTTTGGTGTGAAGGTTTGCTTTATTATACTGTATATTTGTTAACTAGCATTTGAAAGTTAAATTGCCAACCGTGTAAAACACAAGTGTGCAAAATACATTAATAAGAATCTGTACTAAAAAAGGAGAACTATGAGGCGAGTGATTTCCACTCATGCTCATAGTTAGAGCCGATCTGTGACAAAGAAGCTGTCACAGGTCAGCTCTATCGATCGGGAAGTGAGCAGCAACATGCAGCCGATCCGCTCACTTCCTGATGGTCACGGCTCACTGCAGGGAGACAGTCAGTCACCGCAGGTATTCCCCTCTCCCCACTCCGATCCTCTAGCGTTGAGTGGAGGAACAAATGGTGGAGCAGGAAGGCAGAGCCAGCTGTCCCTCCCGCAGCTGGGTGGATCTCGACAGCATTGTCGGGATCTGTCCTGGCTGCGACGCTCTCAGTATATCGCAGGCAATAGCTCGCTATATGCTGAGCTTTGGGTCATGGCAGGAGGTTAGTATATGTCCTCACGTGACCCTGAAGAGAACTATAGGGAAAACACTTACCCCATAGTTCTCTTTTAAATATTTCCACTTGACTAAAAAACTACTTCTAAAACATGTGAACATTTTTAAATTTTCAGAGAATATGAAACTTATTTCTCTGTGTAAATATGCCATACCCAAACCAGTGGGTCAAACAACGTGTGGCTCTCAGTCTCCTTTGCAGTTGCCTGGTTGTTGTCTGGACAGGTGCAGCATTGTACGCTACTCATGAATCCAATTAAAGGCTCTCTCATTTACATTAGTTTGTTAAGCTGCTATTAAGCATTGTTAAAGAAGAACGCCTTGTCCGATGACTGCCCTTGCACACTTCATTTGACTGGCAGCTGTCTGCTCCCCTCTATTCACTTCTACCATAAACTGAGGTTACTTCAGAAACAGCCCAATATACACTACAGCTGACATGCATCCAATATCGGTGCAGAAGCACAGTGCTGGAGACTGTAAACACTGCCTAGCCCTGGGCCAATTAACATTCACATGCAGCATTGTGTTCAAATACATCTAGGGTAGGTTCCTGAATTTGACTTAATATGTGCCTCTTACAACACCCTGAATATTACAGAAGAGGCAGCATTGGGAGCAAGTTAGGCATGCTAAATGCACCAACATGATAATAGGAAGACAGCAGAGGAAGCAGAGAGATGACTATCAGTCTCCTGCTGCTCCTTCACTGTGCAATCAGCAGGCTGGGGGTGTAGAGATGACCCCACAGCATACCTTCTACAGTCTAACATATAAAATGTGTGTCATCCTTCCTGCCACGCTGTGTAAAACAAAGGACTGAATGTGTAGAAATGGCAGGTAAATCAGCTAACTTATGAATATTTTATCTGAGCATTTAGATGTTTGCCTAGAGTTCATCCCTGGGCACATATCCCTCATTAATATGTTGAAAGGGGAGCAACCTAGACCCTAATATGCAGTACAAGGCCTGACACCTTGGAAAATGATGTGCCCATTCCTGCTGCATCACAGAAGGGGAGCTAAATTTCTGGTCTGGAGCCAATACTATGACATGGACAGTTTTTTGTTTTGTTTGTCAACATTAACTTGAGAATTAGGTGCCTGGAAAATCCATAAACAGTGCGGCTCCTCACACCAGTCTGCTTTTCTGAATCTGCATGAATCAGGTTAGAAGCAAACCGTGCTGAAAAGAACAGCTTCTACGACGTTATATTTGTATACACGCCTCATCAATATTATGGTAAGAACCAGGAACTGGAGGATGACAATTGTTGGGACCCTTGTGATTAGTTTTGGTAATGGTCATTTTGATTCCATGCAAAGTATTACAAAAAGTGTTACACGACAGTAGTAGAAAGAGCAATAAAGCGGACAAGCTACTCTAGGACATTAGATGCATAGAGCCAGTGTTAAAACAGTGACAGAGTAAAGCAGCGAGAACTTGCCTGCAGAGGATTGCATCAAAGGTGCAGATGAAGCAGGAAGAGGAAAGAGGTTCACATCTGAAAAACAAATACAAGAAAGCCTCAGCAGAAGTAAGATGCACAATAGACAAGCAGGGGCAAAAAAAAAAAACACAAAAAACACAACTCGCCGCACATTATGTAACCATTTTATTAGCGAAAAAAACCCATTACACATAGGTGGAAGAATGACTGTAGACGTTTACCTGCTGAGGACACTGGGCATCTACAGAAAACTGACTTATGTCTTATCTCAGCATTGCATACGCCAAACGTAATCTGTTCATATATTCGTATGGCAGGCAGAAAGGGGTCAATAATACCCCTTTAAACCAATAGTACAGAGAGGTTTAAAAACAGAACTTGTAGCCTTTTATACCACAGTCATGTGTAAAACCATTAAGTGCAACCAGAACATTCTAAACAGATGTAGAATAAGATGCAGTTCTATTGTTTTCTTCTTCATAGAGTACACGTGTTAAGAAAATGTACAGTAAATAACTGCACACGGTACATGCACATACCTTCTGCCCCTATTTAAGTGTGCGCATGGACCCCCAAAACCCTTGGTGCCTTGACCCACAAGATTGGACACATTCCGGCAATATTGTAGGTCAAACTAACAACCTTCTCACCTTCCTACTGGCACATTACGATGGATAGATTCTCTAGTCAATAGGGAGATGCAGAAGGCGTTCAACACAAGACTGAGTACTTTTATGCAGCGTCCATTGTTGTTTTGAGGATCCCACTGAGAGACTTAAAAAGGAGAACTATGGGGTCAGTGTTTTTCCCCATAGTTCTCCTTAGGGTAACGGGAGGACACAAACTAGCATCCTCCTGTCACCCTAGCGTCCTCCCGTTACTCACCTCATAGTTCTAAGCCGACCTGTGACAATGAGACTGTCACAGGTTGGCTCAGATAGCAAAGTTGGCTGTAGATCCTCAAATCCTCTCTGAATTGGTGCAGACACTGTCCTTCCTTCTGGAGGGGGGCTACTATTGTTCCCCATGGTCCCTGTGTGTGGGTGTTGTAAAGTAGTCACAGCTCCAAGCTCACTCCCGTGATGGGACTACAATCTGACATTTATTTTACCAATTTGTACTGAGACTGTAGTCCATCCCAGGAATGAGCTTGGAGCGGTGACTACTTTACAACACACACAGGGACCATGGTGAACAAAGTAGCCACCCTCCATTTTTATATACAAAACTCTGAGTCCCAGTTCATTAAAACCAGTTGCTCACAGCAACTGGAAACAAGGAATATGATTGGCTTCAATAGGCATCAGTTCCATAGAGAGATACATACATCCTTACATACATACACACACTTAAGACAAAACATACCGAAAAGAGATGATATAGGGAGAAGAACTATGTTAGCTTACTGCCGTCACAATCCGGAATGGCGCCCCTAAACTTGTATCACTGGGATAAGATCAAAATGTATCAACATATATACATGGGGTCTATTGGCACTGATCAGTCTACTGAAGTTACTGATACCCGGCATTTGGTGTCTATTACATGTAAACCTGTGCAGGGCAGACAGAGATACAGACACCAGGTATTATGTGCAGCCTGTCAGATGTACTATTCAGAAGGTATTACAGCAGACATTAGATTAAGCCGGTCATAAACCAGTAGTATTTACTTAGACATTTTACGTTTTTTTGGATTTGCTAATTATTTTTGTTTGGGAAAAAATTGTACATATTGTAATCAACATGCCTAAAGGCTAAAAAAAAAAAAAAACCTTTAATATATCTGGTATTCCATTCAATTAGCAAGTCTGCTCTAAACTTTAAGAGCTTTCAAATGAAATTAGCAGACTCCAATGATGACAAAATCAAATCCTCTGATGAAAGATTAAGAAGAAACGTTTAAAGAAATTCTAAGTGTACGGCCAGCTTTAGAGGGCGGAGTTCAGGTGGCCCATCTTGCATTGAGCCACTCATTAAATGTTGGATAATGGCTCATTTTGGAGTCTGGTTTAGGTTTTTGCATGTAAATACTGATCCTACAGCTGCATTTTATATAAAAACACATCAGTATGTGGCTGTTCTTCCTTCTCGCAAACACAGTACGTCCCACGTAAGGAGCAGGCAAGCAAGCACTCATTTCCTCCCCCCTCCCCTTATGCTGGGTTCACACCTTAGCGTATTGGAAACTCACGTTTGCCGCGTGTTTCGCAGCGATTTGCGGTAAAAGAAACGCGCGGTAAACGCGAGTTTCCGAGGGGGTATCCGGCTGTATCCTAATGGATACAGCGGGATACGCCCCAAAGAAGCTCATGTACTTCTTTGGACGTATGCACGATTCCAAAGTCTACTTGGCTGTATCCCAATGGAAAACGCCCTACAAAAACGGCCCAAAGTAGTACCTGGACCTTTTCAGGTGTGGGCCGTTTTGTAGGGTGTTAGGGACGGGCGGAAATACGGCAAGGTGGGAACGAGACCATTGACTACAATGCAATTTATATTTTTGACCGTTTTGTAGAGCGTTCGTCGAGCGTAGAACGCGCTACAAAACGGTCAGGTGTGAACGAGGGCTAATGGTTTGAATATTTAACCTGAAACCAGAGAGTAAGAAAAACCTAAAATGTCCCAACATGTTGTCCCAACTGTTCTTACTCTTTACTATTTGTCTGCCAAGGTTTACATTAAAAGTCAGTTTACCATTGCCCATCATAGAGTACAGTAAGCTGTATCAGAGTCTGTGACCTGGACTGAGTATGTGGCTAGAGTAGTCACAACTCCTGATCTGCAAATCTACTTGAAGTACATATTTAAAACCCTCATCTGAAAAATCAGCCTGTCAATTAGCATTTTCAGAACGCAAGCCCAAACATTCTCAGCTTGACAGGATAACAAAACCCATCCTTATACTGTGCAGTCTGTGTGTAGTGTTGGCAGCCTCTTCATTGCTGTTGTCATAATACGTTCCATAATGATGTCAGAATACTTTCCAAGCTGCACACAAATGGACAGTGGCTTAGGCCTTGTTCACACCAAGCGCCAGGAGCAGAGCAGTTACAGACCGGAGCAAAACTGCGTCCAATGTGTTCCAATGGTATTTGTAGCTCCAGTTCACACTGCAGCAATTCCCATTTTACCTGCTTCGGAACGCATGCAAACGCATCAAAAAGCATGCAAAGGCCCTGGAACGCACTGAGAGCCCATTTTAAAACTAAAAAAAAAAAAAAAAAAAAAAAAAAAAAAAAAAAATAACAAAAAAAAAAAAAAAAAAAAAAAAAAAAAAAAAAGAAGATTAACAAAAAATGGCCCGGAAACATCAAAAACGCAGCAAAACCCACTGCAATGCAGTGTGTAGAAATCCATGCAGATCTGCTCTGCATTTGGTGTGAACAAGGCCTTACTGTAGTCGGCTTTCTCTGGGAGACCTCTCAATTTCCCTCTACTTCCTGTCTTACTGACAAGTTGTCACAAAAGGTGATGAAGGGAAATCTTTCCAATGGGCATAATGACAAAAAAAAAAACACCAACAGACAACACTCCTTGTAGTAGGGTGTGAGGTTGTTACAGCTGTCAAGAGTTCCCATCCCACTGATCCAGGCCCCATCATTCCTAGGGTCCCAGGGATAAAATGTTAAGTAAAATACAGGGGTGTGGAGTTCCTATCGCCCAATGCTCAGGACATGCAGTTTCAGGCGCCAGTAGAGTAGCTTTTGTTGTACATTTAGCCCTGTTCCGGACAAGCAGAGCCAAATGTACAGTGTGGAGCCGCCGCTCGTTTTCATACAAGTGATCTGATCAGATAACTTGTATGAAATGAGCAGCGGCGATCCTGTACGGCCCCCCTGCTCTTCTGGGGGACCCCTGACCACGGCACATGAGCTCACCATAGAGCCCGTAGAGCAGACGAAGAACGATGCTCCGTGTGATCACTAAGACCGTGGCGCTGTAATCACAGCGCCACCTGTCTAAGCTGTCAGGAACTACACAGAACATCTGTTGTGTTGCGAAAAGCGCACGTATAAACGCACAAAAGTAATCACAAAAATGTGTAACATGCTTCTGTTGCGCGTTTTTGGCCATTTCCAATGACGTCTACGGGGAGGAAAAACGCTTTTAACTGGCCAAAAAGCTCCTGTATCTTTTCAGGATTCTGGCGTTTTTCTGCGCAGGTGTGAACCAGGGCCATTGAAAATCATGGGATTTCTTGTGTTGGACAGTTAACCAGTTGACATCCGCGGTGTTAAACCCCCTTCCCATCCAGGCCATTTTTCAGTATTCAGCGCTGCGGTACTTTGACTGACATTTATTCCGTTATGCAACGCTGTACTGAAATTAATTTTATACCATTTTTTAGGGACAGATAGAGCTTTATTTTGGTGGTATTTATTCACCACTACGGGTTTTATTTTTTACTATATTAAAAGGAAAAATTACCGAAATTTTTTTTTTTTAAAAACTGTTTCCTCTATATTACACAGTTACATAGTATTTGAGGTTGAATAAAGACATTAGTCCGTCAAGTCCAACCTATTAGGATCTCATTCTAGGAGTACCTGTACCCCTGTATATTACGGTCCCTTAAGAAATCGTCCAAAAGTTTCTTGAACAATTCCACATTATTTGCTGAAATCACCGCCTGTGGCAGTGAGTTCCAGACCCTAACTGATCTTACTGTGAAGAACCCCCTTCGCCCCTTGTGCTGGAATTTTTTTTCCACCAATTTTAGGTGATGGCCTCTAGTTTTTGTAACGGAGTTAATTTTAAACAGTTTATCGCTAATGTTGCTACCACCATTAAACATTTTGTACATGGAAATCATATCCCCCCTTAATCTCCTCACCTCTAATGTGAACATGTTTAAATTGAGTAGCCTTGTCTCTTAGCTTTGGTCCTCCGTACCCCTGATTAGTTTGGTTGCCCTCGGCTGGACTTTTTCCAACTCAAGGACATCTTTTCTTAGTACTGGTGACCAGAACTGGACCGCGTACTCAGATGAGGTCGAACCAATGATCTATAAAGTGGCAAAATTATAGACTTGTCCCTGCAATACATCCCCTT